AGTCGTAAAATCCTAAAAACTAACATATAAATAAATACTTTATATCAAATTAATTAATAATATAAACATTTATGAATTAAAAAAATATAAAATATAGCAAGATATTTCGAGATGTTAAACGATTAAAGAGAACAATATTTTAATTAATATTATTCAATTTACAGAATTGTGGATCGCCCGTCTGTGCATCCTGGACCTGTTTCTCGTGAGTTACTGTTTCTCCAGGCGGGCCATAGGTCTTCACATATATGGGATGGAGAGTTTCTTAGCTAGAACTTCTACCCAAGACGCATTGATGATTTTTGGGAGTATATTAGGGACCACCCACTTCATCCTCGTACAGTTGCGTGTCTTACTTGGACTGATTTTTATCGGGTTGTTGAGGTCGGCCGGTTGCAGTCTGATTGCCCTTTGATCACGGCTCTTATCGAGCGTTGGAGACCTGAGACGCATACATTTTATTTGCCTATCGGCGAGGCGACCATCACACTAGAGGACTTGGAGGTATTATTCGGGTTGCCCGTTAACGGTCGTGTTGTCTACTACTCGCCTGCTCTTAGGCATGACTATCTAAAGATACTGGAGAGGCTCACTGGATTTCAGCCGGCGAAGCAGACTGCTATTAGTCCATTGCAGTTATCGCCTGTTAGGCAGCACCTAGAGGCACTTCACGAGTAGATCACGGAGGAGTCACCAGTTGAGGCTATTGAACGACAGTCAAGGTTGTTGCATTCTTTTTCCGAACACTTCGGGGAACCTTGTGAGCCTACGTTTCTTGCATCATCTGAAGCGCTTAGATCACTAACCAATGTACAGTTGGGCGGTGTCGTTCTAGCGTACCTTTATAGGCAGCTCTGCAGGGCGTCGATGGGTAGTGTAAGAGACGTCGATGGATCTATTTCGCTACTGCAAGTGATAACATTATCAGTTCTTTTCGTGATTATCATTGATATAGTAAAAAATACTCAATTATATGTTCTCAATCAATATTAGGTTTGGTCTTGGGAGAGATTCTTGCAGATGCACCCCCCTCCTCGACCGCTAGCTCCAGATGCACCACCTCTGGATTTTCTACCACGTGCTAGGAGGTGGGTAGATAGGCGAGGTCGTGCCCGCGACGTCCAAGCTCGACATCATCTCCCTCTTTATAGGGATATGTTAGATCTACTGGATGCTACTTAGGTTAATATTTGACTACGTTTGTTTGATAATGCTTGATTTGTCTTGCGCTTTCTTGTTATTCTTGCATTTAATAAATAGTTCATATAGAGGCAATATAGCGACGAGCTCATCGCCAATTTGCCAGAGTATTGCTCACGCGGTCGTGTTGTGTGGATATTTGAGGTCCCACTTATATGTCTCGATATAGTCGAGCACCATCCGACCGGAAGAGTCCTGCGACAGTTTGGTCGCTGACAAATTATACCTGCTCCTCCCAGTGGGCATGCCACACATTACGAGTGGGATGATTGCAGTAGAGTTGACCATGCATACTTGACCTCACTAGAGGCCCAGATGGAGGACTGTGATCAGAGACTATTCATGACTCTACCAGACCCTCCACATGACAGTGTTGGCGGTGAGCAGACCTTATGTCTAAAAACATCAACTAAGGACTGGAGACCCTATGTTGGAAAAGAGACTAGGGAGTGGAGACCCTATGTCTAAAATAAAATCAACTAGGGAGTGGAGACCCTATGTTGGAAAAGGCGACTAGGGAGTGGAAACCCTATGTCTAAAATAAAATCAACTAGGGAGTGGAGACCCTATGTTGGAAAACAAACTAGGGAGTGAAGACTCTATGTCTAAAATAAAATCAACTAGGGAGTGGAGACCCTATGTCTTAAATAAAATCAACTAGGGAGTGGAGACCCTATGTTGGAAAAAAGACTAGGGAGTGGATACCCTATATCTAAAATAATCTCAAATAGGGAGTGAAAACCCTATGATGGAAAACATAGCTAGGGATTGGAGACCCTATACTACCATGATTTGTTTGTTTTTTTTTCTTTCTTTTTAATTTCATATATATTTTTTAAGATAATGAGTAAAATGGCGTTCAACAAGACAAGACGCGCATTAAATTTATATTATTTTCTGAGCTGGTGTATAACGCAAATTATTCATGCGCTATATTTCACTTACAATGGATTCTTTATGGTATAAATGTGTGCACACTTTTTCAGTTCGAGAAGACAAGACGCACATTATATTTGTATTATTTACTAAGCTACTACATCATGCATATTGTTCATGCACTATGTTTTACTTAATAATGGATTCTTTACGGTACAAGTGTGTGCATGCTTTTTTCAGGTAGACAAGAAAACACACACATTATATTTGTATTGTTTACTAAGCTATTGCATAACACATATTGTTCATGCGCTATGTTTCACTTACAGTGAAATCTTTACGGTACAAGTGCATGCAGGCTTTTTCAGGTTGACAAAACAAGATAACGCATATTGTACATGCATCATGTTGAACTACCTCCTATTTGGTTCATCTTAAGTTGAACCAAATTTTATTTTTCGGTTATTCATCTAAACAACCGTTTCAAAAATGCCACTTATATTTGATAAGTGATTTAAGAAGGGGCAAAATGGTGAAAGTAGTTTAAAAGATCCACATGGAACACGTCAGAATACAATCGATCCCTTCCTAGAAAAAATATGCTAGGTTGTTATACTGATTTGGTGGATGACAGGTGGTATGGTACTTTACATCCCTTGGAAAATAAGCCCATGAATATACATATAGATCTCAAAATTGAAGGACACATTATTGAGAGGAAGCGTATTCTACAAAGCCTGAAGGTATGCGAATTTGGGATGAAAACCTACAATAGGTTCCCTTATACTCAAAAAGGTGTGATTATGAAGTATTATGGCATTGGATGGGCCTGTTGTACCAAAAGCATTGTGTGCAATGTTTCAAACTAACACACACAAAGATGAACCAGAAGTTATTTGACATTTGATGAATTTTAGAGATGGAAAAGGCATTAGCCGTTTATCCTGCACTGAATGATCTTAACTACCTCCAAGGAACAGATGATCATCATTGGGCTTTATTAGAGAATAAAAAATTGCATAGAGATCTTGATTATCTTGTATACCCAACAATTGTGACGTGGGAGATTACTTCGGCAAGCGACAATTGGGAATGTTCCACCAATACTAATTTGGCTTAAATGTTCTAAAGATAGATTTTGACCCATACACAAGCCTCTAAATTTATAGAGAATAAAAGTGTTAGATAGAGAGGTGCAATCATAAAGGTGATACTTCCATTTCCTATTCACACCTCTTAAAAACCCAACACAAATCATACTTAGCGACTTACCGTACCATATATATTGAAACTGAAACTAAAAATACATATAAAAGTTTTCAACCTAAAAGCTGCCCCAAACACTATAAATAGACCAAAATTGCACCTAAAAAGCTACACCAAACACTAGCAGTGATAATAGCAGAAACTATAAAATTGTACCTTTAAACGTGAGTTTCTTGTGATACAATTCGCTCATGGTAAAATTTCACATGGGTTTGATGTACTTTTATCTTCAACTAATAGTCCAACATTTAATGTGTGTCTTTAAGCATCTGATTGCTCGATTGCCGTGAGTAAGCTTGTACGAATAATTGAATTTTACTTAGTTACAAGCAAGAAATAATAATAAACAAATGATTCATCTCTTACCTGAGAAAGATATGTATGATAATAAACTTTACTATTATTTTTATTCATTCTTTTGTCTTTTGTCTTGTCTTTTAATTTTCTAAAAATAAAAAAGAATTTCTTACAGATTTTTAATCTCGTAATCTATAAAAACATCCAACCTCTAATTGCAACGACTCAATAAAATCTTTTATAATCGCAAGAGAGATGGTTCGCTGATAGATCGAGGTAGGTGTGTACATAGACCGCGTTGGTGCGATTTTTATCAAAACCAAACCAAACCAACTATATCGATTTTGATTGGTTCGGTTTGTCGGTTTTTTCGAATTTTTTTGTTAATTGAATATTATTTCAATCTTACTTTATTAAAGTTATAGATAAGTGAATATATGTTTGGTAGAAATTAAAAAATAATAAACATAAGATCTATTAAAATATTCTTATGAGAGAAACCTTTTAGTAAATTATGGTAGTTATTTTCTTAATAGTCTAACAATAATTTTTCATTGATGTACACTTTCAAGGTTAATTGAATTTAATAATTAAATATAAAAATAATATGATAACTAAATAATAATATGTTATATTTAATTTTAAATTATTGAAATACTATTTCAAATTCGAAAAAGATATAAGAAATATTGACATATGAATATGGAAGAACAAAGAGTGATTGACGCATTTCAATAACACTTGATAAGAAAATGATACAACTCATTATTTAAGGTAAATAAAAATAAATAAATTTCATAATTCTATTAAATATTACATCCTGAGAGGATCTCAAATATTTCTAGATTATTTTAAAGAAAATTCTATATAAAGCCTTAAAAATAAATATAAAAATTATATATTTATTGTTAGTTTGGTTCGGGGTTTTTTATACTCAAGACCAAACTAAATCAAATAAAATCTAATTATATTTTTTATTCGATTTGGTGCGGCTTTCCGGTTCGGTTTGAACCCCTAAATCGAGGGATAAGTCATTCAATTAGATCATGAATGTTTGGAATACTTAATATGCAAGCCAATTATTCCCAGAAGAAATCCTACTCTTCCTTATTATTTCTGTTTTTTGTATTTATTAATTTTTATCTGAACTAAAATAATTGAAATAAAGTTCCAATAAATCTAGCAACCATACTTATTTAATGGAGATAAAAAAATTATTCTTTAATTACGATTAAAAGATTAAAACTGCTCGTGAGCATATTTAAGGAACAATTTTTGACCTACTTCAAACAAGAGGGACCGTTTTTTGGCATTTTCTCAAAGTATTGTCCACATATTAATAAACAAAAGAACAACGAAATCTCTTAAACCCTTCCCTAGCTCTCTTCCTTTCCTCCAGACCAAACTCCTTACTCTTCTTAAAACTCTTCTAAATTTTTTGTTTGGTCTTTAAACTCTTCTTAGTTCTCTTCCCACTTTCTTGATACAACTCTCAGCTACTTCCGCTGTGCTTAATATTGTTAGCAGCTTTCTGCTGTGTTGGGGCTGGCAAAGGTGAGTCCATGAGCTCGACTGTTTATTATATCTTCCAATTTTTTTTCCTGGAGTTTTATTCATTTCCTATACTTGTTTATTTATTTCTTGATATAGAGGGTGTTTCTTGGACAGTGTCTGCAAATTTTCCTTGTGGGTTTTGTCTGAAGTGGAAAATATGAAAATTACCTATAGTTGTTGCTGCTCATTTTCTGCATAGAACCTGAAAAAACCTGCCTGCCCCTATTAAATCCTTCGAATAGAGAAACTTTTTTTAAAAAAAAATTACCCTTTGATTAGAGAATCAGTGGAAATAATTCATAAGTTTCTCTTTCCCGCATTTAGGTATGGTGATATGCTGAATAACTGAAAAGTTGAGCATTTTCTTATTCTGCAGTGAAGGTCATGCGTTATGCTACTTTCAGTTTTGGATGTTCATCAAATGAGAAGTGCTGTAGCAAAATTAAGAAGATAGCAGTTTTTCTTTCTCAAATTCCTAGGTATAGAAGATGGTACAGCAGCAATAGTGCTGGACTTTCGTCGAGATTTTCCTCACACAACTCTCATCCAATTCTTCGATCTTGTGGTCTTCAGCATTGGTTCAAGAATTGGCAAGAATTGAGAAAGAATAAACTTACAGCTAGCACTTTTGGTCAAGCTGTTGGTTTTTTTCCTAAGCGCAGACCCCAACTCTGGTTGGAGAAAATTGGGGCAATTGAACCCTTCTCGGGTAATTTAGCTACGTGTTGGAGTAACATCAAAGAAGAGGAGGCTCTTGAGAGGTATAAGCTGATAACTGGAAATCCTGTCTCTTTTACTGATTTTCAGGTATATCAGGAAATGAAGAGGGAGGATGACTGGCTTGCAGCTTCTCCTGATGGCGTGGTTGACAAGTTTGTTTATCATTTGCCATCGAGAGGGGTTTTGGAGATTAAATGCCCTTTCTTCAATGGCGATATGAGTGCTGCAACTCCTTGGAAAAGAATTCCAATCTTTTATGTTCCACAAGCACAGGGTTTAATGGAAATATTGGATCGAGATTGGATGGACTTTTATGTTTGGACTACCAAAGGAAGCAGTTTGTTTAGGTTGCATCGTGACGAAGAATATTGGAAGCTCTTGAAGATTGCACTTTCTGACTTCTGGTGGAAACACGTCCAGCCAGCAAAGGAGTTGTACAAGAGATCACAGATCAAAAATCCCCTTGTTGAACTAGGCTCCTATAAGCCAGAACCTCAGCATGAATTGTTCCGGTCTATCATCTATGAAAGCAGGCGTGTGCTTGACAATTCCGTGTTGCTTATGCGTGAAGTTGATGGAAAATTACAAAACTGAGATTCCTTTAGAAAGATTGCGGTGTTACTTCTTCTATTAGCATACTTGAACTCCAAAATTAATCAAGAGACAGGGGTTGGAAGATCACATGCATTGACATGGGCCAGTTGAGCAAATGAACTTCTTCAATAGCCAAAATGGAGGCAGATGTTAGGACAAAGTTGGCACAAACTCTTATGGAGATAAGGTACATTTTGGGTTTTGTTCTCTTTAATTTTTCTAAATCTTAATCTGCACTGACAACAGTAACCTGGTTTCTCTTTGCTTATAAATTGGTCAGTTAAGTTGGAAATTGCTGTTGTCGACCCAATGACAACCTTCAAATAGGAGTGGGAAGCGATGATTGCAGAATGAGAGTCCCATGTGTTGGTATAAGTTGTTCTTTTATGTGTCAAATTGTTTTGTTGAATTTTCTTATCCATCTTAGTTGTTTTATTATCATTCTAATCACCCTCTTTTGATCTGTAAATCAGAATCTGATACCCGATTCCCAAAAAAGAGTTGAGCTTTACCTGGTTTATTTTCTATCTAAAGTATCAGAAGGATAAAAGAGGAATATACATTCCTGCTTGATGGAGCAATTATATGCTTGCGACAAAAATTCTATGCTTTTTCTTTTTCTTTGTCCCCCCCCTTTTAGAGAGTGGTCGTGGTGGGTGTCATTCTTTGTAAACACCGTAGCAGAAATGATGAATTCCTTTAGTTATTTAAATTCTTGGCTTTGCATGCCCTTACCAATTAATTTGATTCATGCGCTGTGGTGTCTCACCCTCTTGTTTACGTTACTTTGTACATGATGTCCATTGCTCTCCATGCTACTGCAGATGATGGGTTTTATGCAGTCATATGTTATATTGCAGAGCATGCAAAAAATTGTGCTGCACTTATGTATAAGTAAGGAAGCTTGGTGAAGAAAACTATGTTGGGAGTTGAAATGTCTGGTATGCAATGATTCTCTTACTCCCCCAGTATCTGGCTGCAGTGCTGGAGAAAGTCATTGAAGCTCAAGATTTGGCGCAGACATTGATTCAAAGTATTCAGATGCTGATGTTGATGACTATATGAGGTATGCTATTTACTAGATAACCATCTAAACATTAAATCCTGCAGCCATTAGGTTGCATATATTTATAATCCCAAAATTTTCTCAATCATGTGGCAGGATCAAGTAATTAATCATTTAAACTCCATATTTCAGTTCTTGAAGTTCTTTTTAGGCAATTCACCAGACTTGTTGTGAGGCAAAATATTTATGTGGAGCCATGCTCCAAGTAGTTCGAAATGTGTGGAATAGTAAGATGGATGAATAGAACTTGGACAACATTCCGAAAGAATACATTGTAACAAAAACAGCCTTGAGCAGTATAGATAAAATAAGTAACAAAAATCTTTGCTTTTTTGAGGTTTAAAAAATGTACTAAGGTTTGAACTCCTCTACATGACATTTCTGCTACTTTAGTTCCTCCAAGCATGTATGAGTTTTCTAACCTCTATGGCATAGAAACAATTTTCCATGAAATGCACGCTTTTGAAAATTTTGAAGAGTAGTCAAGTTGATTAATCTTGCCATGATCTTTAGGTTCCACTGTTAGCTGTAGATTTCACTATATAGTCTTTAGGCTATGGCAAATTTTGAGTTCATGTGCTTCAATTGGGCTCTAGATACATATATCTTCCTTGAGTTTTGCATGTGGCATGTGAGGTGAGGTTCTGTTGAGTTCTTTTGCATCAATTATGGTCTAGAACTTGCCCCAAGTGTGTTTCGAGGCGAAATTCTAGGTTGCGCTTGGTTTAGAAAATATTTTTTGGCTTTCTTTGGACCGCTTGTGCCTTAAATTGTCTACTCTTTGCGTGATTACCTTAGTCATCCCCCTTGAGCCTTTAGCCTTGCCATTGACAACCACATTACAAGCCTTTCCCCTTTTGTGTTAACCTCTTTTGATGCCCCGACCTTCTTGAAGCTACAGTTTAGGCTTTTAGCCTAAGTTTTGGGGAGGAGATGGGAAAAATGTATTGTGGTAGTTGAATGGAGTTGATTTGAAGGTAAAAGTGAAAACGAAGTGTGAATAAGAGTTGAAAAATATTGTAAGAAATAATACACGGGAAAAATATTATGTTATTGATGTGCCCTAACTATAATACAAGTACCCCTATTTATAACAATATACAATACCTACGATACTCCTATTCCATGTAGGACTATGCTTATTTACATAACACCTAACTAACTAACACTCCCCCTCAAGCCGGTGCATACAAATAATATGTACCGAGCTTGTTACATATATAACTAATATGAGGACCAGTGAGGGACTTGGTGAAAATATCTGCAAGTTGATCATTCGATTTCACAAACTTTGTAGCAATATCTCCTGAGAGTATCTTTTCTCTAACGAAGTGACAATTAATCTTAATGTGTTTAGTTCTCTCATGGAACACCAGATTTGATGCAATATGAAGGACAACTTGATTATCGCACACAAGTTACATCTGGCTGATTTCACTAAATTTCAACTCCTTGAGCAATTGTTTGATCCAAACTAGCTCACATGTTGCCATAGCCATTGCTCGATACTCTGCTTCTGCACTAGACCGAGCAACTTCATTATGTTTCTTGCTCTTGCAAGATACCAAATCGCCTCCTACTAAAACACAATATCTAGACGTAGAACGTCTATCTGAGGGTGATCCTGCCCAATCAACATCTGAGTATCCAACGATCTACTCTTGGCCTCGATCCTCAAACGATAACCCTTTTCCTGGAGCCAATTTTCAACTGTTTGGGATGCGAGAACAGAGAAGTCAAATGTTTGTGATGAGATCATTGGGTGACTTGGTGTTGCAGCAAGGCAAAGTAATCGAGAGAACAATTCATCAACTGTAAGGACAGTCGGACTAGCTAAAATCTGGTCGCGCACTGAATCAAGGTCATTAGGAAGTCCAACGAGTGTAAGAACGAGAAACATCTTTTGTCGTTGCTCTTGTTGCTTTTCAACACTAGTAGAAACTGGCATCAACTTCTCCAATTCCTCCATGACTGCCTATACTTGTCCCAAGTAAGTCGACTTATCCAATTCCTGTTTCTTCAAATTCGTCATCCGCGATATCACATCGTAGAAACGAGATATGTCATTAGTGTATAAAGTACGAGCCTTTTCCCAACTAAATGACATGCCTGGAATGGATGAAACAAAGACATCAATTTGGAATCAATAGATCGCCACAAGATACTATGAAGCATGCTTAAAGACATTTTTTATATGTCACTTGATTTTATTAATGCTGTGGGCGGCCAGCATCCTTATAAAAAAAAATGGACTGCAGTGCTGGAGAAAGTCATGGAAGCCGAAGATTTTGCAGATTCTAGCACCGACACGGATTCAGATAATTCAAATGCTGATGTAGATGACCATATGAGGTATGCTATTTACTCAATCACCACCTTAACACTAAATCTTACAGTCATTTGGTTGCATATTTTTAGGAGTTAATCCCATTTTTTTGTCAATTATATTTTCGGGTAATCAAATCATTTAAGAGTTACTTTTTTCAGTTCATTTTAGTCAATTCACCAGCTTGATGTGTGACAAAATATCGATAGTTCGGAACGCGTGGAAGAGTACGTGAGACTGTCCCGGTTGAGGGTGCGGTGCATTGCAACATCCTTGTTACCCTATTGCAAAACCCTAATGAGGCTTGCAAATGCTGAATGATAATCGTTGTAGCTTACCAAAATCTCTTTTGTGTTCCTTTATGTGTTCCTACCAAGGCAAAACACAGTGTTAGCATCAGGCTCCAATGACCTAGAGCCCGCTTCGATATCCAAACTAGTAATGCTCGTAGACAGCTGAAGCTACAGGAAAAGTATAAAATAGTATTAAAAGTGTACACGAGTAAGCTCATATAGCCTAGAAATGATGTGCTGATATATCCTGTGGTAGATATAATCTACACACACATTAAAAAAAAAAAGAAAAGGAAAAGGCAATGTAGAGGCTTTACATAAGTTGCTCCAGTTGGTACCTCTTGGACAAGCGAGGAGGGAGTCTTCTTCCCAGATGAATAAACCGTGTCAATACCAAGCCTCACTGGTATGTTTAAACACTGATACTTTGTCCTAGATGGCTCGTCGTGGGATGAATGCTCAATCTTAGGTGTGTTACTCGACCATGTAACTCTTGATATCTGATCCTCGTTCATCACCCTAGCTCCCTTGATTCCCTAGCTAGGATGAATCTGATCTATTGGGCTCATATACCAGCCTCAATGCCAATATTTAAGGATTGTGTGAGTTGTGACTTCTGTTTACTCAACTCCTGTACATGAAGCGTCAAAAGATCCAACACAATTTACGTGGCATTATGTGTTTATAGTCACTTTTACTCTTGTGGCTTTACTTAAAATCATCGCGGAGAAATTATTTATGCATATAGTATTTCCATTGTATCTAGTTGTGTTAATGATGCTCAGTTACAACTTACATGCATTAATATTTGGCCTCCAATGTATGTCTAGATAATGGGATCACTGATTTACTGATGGAATCAGATTCACTTTTGGTGATAAATATGGTAACATGGAAAGAGCCAGGTTTCATGGAGATGAAAGCATAATGTGCAAGCCATTCAAGAGATGATGGAGCTGATTAATGCACACTTACATCATACTTTTTGAGAGCAGTGGCAGAGCCAGAATTTTTGTTGAGGTGTGTCAAAATATATAAAAGTAAACATATCAGGAAATTAAGGGGAGTCAATATATAGTATATTTACATATAATTTATTTTTTTACCTAGCTACACAGTGTATTTTTCCCGCGAAGGGGTATCCCCTTCCTATAAGGTGGCTCCGCCACTGTTTGAGAGGGAAACCTAATTGCTGACAGTTTTTTATCAACATGACAAAAACCATGGTGAAATAATAATTTTTTTTTTTTGGAAGGGAAAAAAAAATTCTCCTATGTTGTTTTTTTTTTTTTGGAAGGAAAAACTACACTAGCAACAAGTACCTTCTTTTCGAGTTAAGAAATAATGCAACAAGGTGCCAATCCTAAGTGAATGAAGTATATACAGAGATTCAGTTTGTGAAGGAAAACTCACTTTTGTTTTGTTGTAACACACATGGAAATAGGAGTACGTCCTACACTTGGGACCCGTTTGGTTGGGGCTGTGGAAAGAATTAGTTATGGTATAAAATTCAGCATTTTCCCTGACTGGTAGAGGGAATTACTCGTTGTATAAGTTCAGCATGTTTTCATTCATTGTTTGGTTGCTATTTTTATTTTCCCGATACCTGCATAACTTAATAAGAATACGGGTATTAGCAATGCATGTATTAAATCAACTAAAATGACAAAAAATACCCTTGTGACCTTCAAACTAATTTCTTTACTACAACAAATTAAATATTTCACAACAAATAATTCATGCATTATAATTCCTACATTATTAAACTATGCATTCAATACATCCTTTACTAATTTTTATATTACAATCCTTACATTACCAATTTTTGTATTGTAATTCATAAATTACTAATTTCTACATAACTTGCTTCTAAATCAAATAACCTCTTAAGTAATTTGAAAGCTTCGTGGAAAAGTTAGGGTAGATCTTATATTAGGGGAAAGGACAGAAATGTACTTACGGAACACATAATTACTCCTAAAACATATAATTACTGTTGCTGCACCAAAACTATGAAGGTATTGATAAAATCAAGCAAAATCCTGGCGTCATTGAACGACATTAACCGGGAACGACGGTAAATTTATATGGATGGTATTTAGTATTAGCATTTAGAATATGTATCTTAATTAAGAAAAATATATTGGGATTTATGCAAAAGAAAATATTTGGAGTTATCAACAAACATCAAACTTCTTGAAATCCCCTTTTTTATAGTACGTGTCTACATTATGTTTGACTTTTTGTTTTACATGTTTACTCTCTTCCACCCCATTTAATTCCTTTATTTTATACTTATCATTTACTAAAAAAGTTATTTTATAAATATGCTAAAAGGTGTACCATTTGGTATAATATTGGACATATTTAATAAGTCGTATTTGTTATGAAAATAATTATATTGTGGATGTCCATTTATTACTCCGTTATAAATAATCTTCCTGAAAAAGATTATCCATTTAGTACTCTATTGAAGTTTATCTACAAGCAGCCGATGCATGTAGGTTGCAAGTAGCTCAATGAAATGATTTGCAGCAGCTTCTTATTAAACAGGCAGGTTGCAAGCAGCTCATACAAACATCTTACAAGGAGCTAAAGAAAAGCCTTGCAGCTTCTTCCTGAAAAGCCTCGCAGTTGCTTCCTTTCTTCTATAAATAGAGGAGTTTTCAGTTCATTACGTACATAAGCTTAAAAGTTGAATAATATATCAATCTCTCTCTATACTTGTCTTCGATTTATTTACTTTACAGTTTTTATTTTATAATACGTTATCAGCACGAGACTCTGCCATCTCGAGCAAATACTTTGAAAGTATCATAGGTATGAACTTTCTTTTTCTAAATAATATCAAATCTTTCTAAACTTGAATTTGTAGCCCTGGATATATCGGGCAAAAGCTACATGTCTTGGGTGCTTGATGCGATGGGTCTGGCAGACACCATCAAGGACAAAAATCAGGCATCAAACCAAGACCGTGCCAAAGCAATGATATTCCTACGCCATCACCTTGATGAGGGCCTGAAAATGGAATCTCTTATTGTTAAAGATCCAGTCATACTGTGGGGTAATTTGAAAGATAGATATGACCACCTGAAGATGGTCGTTCTTCCACAGGCACGATCTGACTGGACTCATTTAAGGCTACAAGATTTTAAATCTATCAGTGAGTATAATTCTGTTATGTTCAGAATTATTTCCCAATTAAAATTATGTTGTGATAATATTACTGATCATGATACGTTGGAGAAAACTTTTACCATTTTTCATGCCTCGAACATGCTCCTGCAGCATCAATATCGAGAGATGGGATTCAAAAAGTATTCTGAACTCATCTCACATCTTCTTGTAGCCGAGCAACATAATGGGCTATTAATGAAAAACCATGAAAGCCGACCTACTGGTTCTTATCCATTCCCTTAAGTGAATGAGACAAACTTCCACCAAACTAAGCGTGGAAGGGGGCGTAGCCCCAGTCGTGGTCATGGTCGTGGTCGGGGAAGAAACACTAATCATGGTAATAATAATGCACCAAAGAACCATCCTCACCGCCAACAGCGGAAAAGGAAGGAACAAAAGCATGAAACGGTGCAAGCAGCAAACACAGAAAATGCATGCTATAAATGTGGAGGAAAAGAGTACTGGTCACGTACCTGTCGTACGCCAAAACACCTGGTTGAGCTTTATCAAGCCTCCCTGAAGAAGGCAGAGAAAAATGCTGAAGCAAATTTTATTTCTGAAGATAATTTAGATTTCATGCATTTGGATGTAGCTGATTACTTTGCACTCCCATAAGGAGAAACAAGTTATGTGATCGGTGATGAATCTGTAGAGATGTAAGTATTTTAATTTTTGTTGTTTGTAGTAGATAGTATGGTTATGTAATAGTTGTACATAAATAAAAGTTATGCTTTGATAATAATGTTTACTATCATATTTATTTTGTTTATGTCATTTTGAAGAATATGGATAATCCTCAAACTATGTTTGGATCAAAGACCAATCATGAAGATATTTGTGTAATTGATAGTGGAACAACTCGTGCCATATTCAAAGATCAGAAATACTTTTCTTATTTGCATAAGGAAAAAGCAAATGTTTCTACAATTTTTGGTAATATAAGTTTGATTGAAGGCTCCAGAAGAGCTATTGTATTTCTGTCTAAGGGAGTAAAACTTATTATAGACAATGCATTATTCTCCTCCAAGTCCCGAAGAAACTTGTTGAGTTTTATGGATATCCGCCGAAATGAGTATCATGTTGAGACGATAGATGAAATGAATATGGAATATCTTTGTATTACAAAGAATGTTTCTGACCAGAAGTGCATTGTAGAAAAGTTACCAACTTTATCTTCTGGCTTATACTATTCAAAGATTAGTACAGTTGAAACACACTCTATCGTAAACAGGAATTTTACCGATTCAAATACTTTTGTGCTTTGACATGGCAGTTTGGGCCATTCTGGATCAATCATGATGAGACGAATCACTGAAAATTCGAGTGGGCATCCATTAAAGAACCTGAAAATTCTTACAAATGATGAATTTTCTTGTGATGCGTGTTATCAAGGCAAAAATGATCACTAGACCATCACCAATGAAGGTTGAGTCCCTACCTTTTTAGAGCGTATACATGGGAATATATGTGGACCTATTTACCCACCAAGTGGGTTGTTCAGATATTTTATGGTCCTAATAGATGCATCTTCAAGATGGTCTCATGTGTGTCTACTATCATCTCGCAACCTGACGTTTGCAAAGTTATTAGCCCAAATAATTCAATTAAGGGCACAATTCCCAAATTATCCTATAAAGGCTATTCGCCTTGATAATGCTGGAGAATTCTCATCTCAAGCTTTTGATGATTACTGTCTATCAGTTGGGATAAAAGTTGAACATCCTGTAACTTATGTTCAAACTCAAAATGGCCTTGCAGAGTCATTTATTAAACACCTGCAGTTGATAGCAAGACCACTACTTATGAAAATAAAATTGCCCACTACTGTTTGGGGCCATGCTATCTTGCACGCAGCATCACTTATCCGTCTCATACCGACACATTATAATTAATAAATATTTTCCATCACAATTAGTTTTTGGTCATGAATCAGATATTGCCCATCTATGAATTTTTGGATGTGTTGTATATGTGTCAGTAGCACCACCACAGTGCAGTAAGATGGGCCCGCAGAGAAGGTTAGGAATATATGTTGGATTTGAATCACCCTCTATTATTCGTTATCTTGAACCATTGACAGGAGATTTATTTACTGCTCGATTTGCAGATTGTCGATTTAATGAAACAAATTTTCCACAATTAGGGGGAGAGAAAAAGGAAATCAAAAGAGAAATTATGTGAAAAGTTTTATCATTATCTCACTTTGATCCACGTACCCCTATATGTAATCAGGAGGTCCATAAGATCATCCATTTACAGAATATAGTAAATCAAATGCCAGACGCATTTAATGATTTGAAAAGGATAACTAAGTCACATATCCCTGCAGAGAATGTGCCTATCCGAATTGATGTCTCAACAGGACCATCTACTAGCATGAGAGCTAGTGAACCTAAAGCACGCCTGAAGTGTGGTAGGTCTTTGGTTCTAAGGATCAAAATCCTAGAAAAAGAAAATCGACAAATGATCAAAATGATATTATGAAGGGATCTCCTAAAGAGACCCAGGATCTGATTAGTTCTGAGATTCCTGAAGAAATCAATGAACCCGAGACTCAAGTGAGTGGGAAACTTTTAATAAGCTCTACTACTGATGGAATTAATTTAAATCGATCTGAAATAGCGGTGGATAATATTTTTGCATATAATATTGCACTTAACATTATACAAGATAGTGAGAATCTTGAACCCCGATCTGTCGAAGAATGTCGACAAAGATTTGATTGGCCAAAATGGCAAGAGTCAATTCAATCGGAATTGAAGTCATTTGCTAAAAGAGAGGTCTTTGGATCAGTAGTCCAAACACCTGGTGATATAAAGCCAGTTGGTCATAAATGGATTTTTGTGCGAAAAATGAATGATAAAAATGAAGTTGAAAGATACAAGGCTCGCCTTGTCGCACAAGGATTCTTACAATGACCTGAAGTCGATTATGAACATATGATGGATGTGGTTACAGCTTATCTGTACGGGCCACTTGATAATGAGATTTACATGAAAATCCGTGAAGGATTTAAAATGCCTGAAACAAATTCAAAATCTCGAAAAATGTACTCAATCATATTACAAAGATCTTTGTACGGTTTAAAGTAATCTGGGCGCATGTGGTATAACCGCCTTAGTGAATATTTGTTGAAAGAGGGTTACATAAATGATGTTATTTGTCCATGTATTTTTATAAAGAAAATGACATCATAATTTGTTATACTTGCTGTTTATGTTGATGACATAAATCTTGCTGGAAATCCGGAAGAGCTCCAAAAGGCAATTGAATAACTTAAGAAAGAATTTGAGATGAAAGATCTTGGAAAGACAAAGCTTTGTCTTGGACTACAAATTGAACATTTAGCAGACGAGATCTTTATGCATCAATCTGCCTATACAGAAAGGGTCTTAAAAAGCCTTTACATGGACAAATCGCACCCATTGAGTACACCAATAATTGTTCAATCACTTGAAGTGAATAAGGACCCGTTTCGACCTCCAGAAGAGTATGAGGAACTCCTTGGTCCTGAAACACCCTATCTCAGTACAATTGGTGCACTTATGTATCTTGCTAATGTTACAAGGCCTGACATAGCATTTTCTGTTAATTTACTAGCAAGATATAGTTCTTCTCCTACACGGAGATATTAGAACGGGATTAAACATATATTGCGATATTTAAAGGGAACTCTTCATATGAGTTTGTTTTATGCTAACAAAGATAGTGCATATCTTGTTGGTTATGCAGATGCAGGTTATTTATCTGATCCACATAAAAGCTCAATCTCAAATCGGGTACGTGTTTACATGTGGAGGTACTATCATATCATGGCGCTCCACAAAGCAATCTATTGTTGCTACTTCTTCAAATCATGCTGAAATAATAGCTATTCATGAAGCAAGTAGGGAATGCGTATGGTTCAGATCAATAATTCATTTTATTAGAGAAAAATGTGGTTTGGAATGTGAGAAAAGACCCACAATTTTATACGATGCTGCATGCATAGCCCAATTGAAGATGGTATGTACTTTTGAGAAGATGGTATACAAGATTGAAATGCGGATACTCAAATATTTGAAATAAGATTTTCATCAGGGGGAGTAAAATACGCTATGTACTTTTTTTTTCTTACTAAAATTTTTTCCCACAGGGGTTTCCTTATAAGGTTTTTAATGAGTCAGCTAGAAATGCGTATTATTAAATATGTGTACTCTTTTTCATTCACTAGGATTTTTTCCACTGGGTTTTTCCTAGTAAGGTTTTAACGAGGCACAATACCTTTTAATGAACATCCAAGGGGGAGTGTTATGAAAATAATTATATTATGGATGTCCATTTATTACTCCGCTATAGATAATCTTCCTGAAGAAGATTATCCATTTAGTACTTTGATGAATTTTATCAACAAGCAGCTGATGCAGGCAGGTTGCAAGCAGCTCAATGAAATAATTTGCAGCAGTTTCTTATTAAACAGGCAGGTTGCAAGCAGCTCATGCAGACAACTTACAAGCATCTAGAGAAAAGCCTTGCAGCTACTTCCTGAAAAGTCTCGCAGCAGCTTTCTTTCTTCTATAAATAGAGGAGTTTTCAGTTCATTATGTACATAAGTTTGAAAGTTGAATAATATATCAATCTCTCTCTATACTTGTCTTCGGTTTATTTACTTTACAGTTTTTTTTATAACAATATTGAAACATATTAATAAATAGTATACTATTAGTTTACCAGTATATCCTTGATTAAGTATATATTTTACAAAAGTATACTATTTAATATAGTAGTATATTTATAATTTATGTTTATATTTAACAAGTAGTAGTATACTTTGATTCAAGTTTATATTTAACAAATACTTTATCGTCCCAATTTATGTGATGGTATTTAACTCGACATGAAATTAAGAAAAAAAGAACTTTTAATGCTATTTAAAAATATTTATTTTTTGTTTGATCAAATACAAATCTAAGATGGTAAACTTATGTATTGTTTTAGTTGTAATGAAAGAGTTATTAAAATAACGGCCGGACATAAGCTTGATCTCTCTCTCTATATATATAGTTTAAATGCTTGTGGGAAAACGTTATAAAGTTCCAAAGGCAATTAAAAATCGAAGAAAGGAAATAATGTTCCAAGGTTGGTAAAATGAAGACGGCACTGGCGATATATATTAAGGAGAATGGAATATTGTGGTTCAAAAGAAGCGCCAGAGGAATGCAAATCAAGAAATACACAAGCTATGGTCGTTCCACAAATAGGTATTTGCGGAGTTTGAGAAAATATCACTTCTTTCTTCTCATTTTTCTTATTTGGTTGTTGAAAAAATTGTCGAAGAAACTTGAAACAAAATGCAGTTATCCTTTGTAATATAAGATTACTATGATTTTAAAAAAAGAAATGACATGTTACACTGTTCATTTGTTTGGCGAAGAAATTTGTCGAGAAGAGTGAATATAACTTTCGAATTGTTGATAACTTTGAAGCTAGCTGTTCGAATTGAAAAAGTTTCTTCACTTTGACACTGTAAGTAATATCTTATATCCAAGAGCACAATTCTATTCTGGATGATGACGGTTAATGTGATAATTTTTTAGTTTCCAAAAAGTGAATAAAAGGGATAAAGTTAAATTTGGAAATCATTCCCAAAGTTCCAGCAAGTTCAATTCTTGGAATGTATCCAAGGACAGATAGGATGAAGTGAAAACTCTAAGTAGTCATTTCTTCCAATCATTAATTCAGTTATCTGTATAATATTAGCATTTGAATTTTGGGATATAAATGTGTCTTATGCGTGCATACAAAGGTATGGGAAATATTGATTTTAATATCTATTTGTTTACGCATTATATATTCATGCGTTATTTTTTATGAACTTCTTTTTTTTCTTCTTAATGGTAAGAAGAATGGCTTTGAAATAGCTAAGTTCAGACGTAGACCGTGAGAATGACATAGTTTTACCTTTTTCATTTCCTTTTCATCTTTTTTCCTTTTTAGGTTGGTTTCCTTTCAAATTTCACTTAGATAAAAAAATAATATCAACTATATGAAAACAAAAGTTTTAACATTTTCTATTAAGAAACCCGATATTCTACAAAAAGAGCTTAGAGGAAGAAGAAAAAAAGTGGGCAATATGTCAGTTTTAAACCACCAAATTTTATTCAGGCAAGTGACACTGTCTTTTCTCTTTTTGTATAATTTTTAATTTTTCGATTTTGCCTATTCAAGTTAAAATGCGCAATGGATTGTTTTATATTTAAATTAAAATATCCAGAGTCCAGAAAAGTATAAAGTGATTTTTTCACAAAGTACAAAAGAATATTTGGACTTCTTTTATTTCCTTTTAAAACTTATGAGACTGATTTTTACTCATATTTTTAATTTATTAAATACACTAGTTTGATAAATAATATTGTTAATTAAATATTTTAAAACTTCTGAGATCGCGTGTAGAGTATTGATTAAGTAGAACAGTAGAACGAACCCCAAGATTCCGCTAAATCTCGAGTGCAACGACGTCGTTTGCGTCAAATCATCTTTTACCAAAATGCAAAAACCCCGTTTTTTCTCTTCTTACCCTGCTTTCAAGGCTCCTCCGCCTACAATCCCATTAGCCAAGAACTGTCCTCCTTCCCTCGATTTTGAAAATAAAAAAAAGTTATACTCCGAACAAAGAGAGAGAAAATGGAAGATGAAGTGGAAAAACTCATTGAAATGGAAGAACAACAAGAAGATGCAGTAGAAAAGGCTTCTCCTTCTGCTTCCGATGATTCTTTTATTAACGATGATGATGATTCTGATGATGGCAATCAACAATCTCCTCATGAGGTTTAGCATTACCCACCCCTTTCCATATTTCTTTTTTATTTTTTGGCTTTGGACGACTGATATCTTGTTTGCCTTGATTTGGATTGTAGGAACCATTAACTGATAAGGAGATTGAGGAGCTCATTGCTGAGCTTTTAGAAACTGAGAGTAAGGTTTGGCATTTTACTGCTTTCTTTTTTTCCCCTTAAAGATTGATATTTGTGGGCTGCACTTGTCTTTTAACTTTTTGGGTTATGAATGTTATAGGCTGCAGAGGCTCAAGAGGCTTTAGAAGAAGAGTCAATAGCTAAAGTGGAGGCTGATGTTAGGGCTGAGTTGGCACAATCTCTTTCAGGAGATGAGGTACATTTTCAGTCTCCCTTTTTTCCCCATGTATATAAAACTATAAACCCCTTTAAATTTGGTCATTGCAGTTGGAAAAAGCTGTAGCTGATGAAATGGCAATCTTTAAAGAAGACTGGGAAAATGTTCTTGATGAACTGGAGACTGAGAGTGCTCATTTGTTGGTAATTGCTTTACTGCTTTTTCTGTTAAATGGGTTTGTTGATTTTCTCGTTATGAATTAAATCAACTCTAAAGGATGACTGCAAGCATAAAAGGAGCTTTACCCGCTTTGTTTTCAAACTGGAATATCTGAATGAACACAAACGGATATCTTTTCCTGCTAGTTCTGATAATAGCATGCTTGAAGACATTTAGTTTACAGCAGTTACATATTGGGCAATGGGTATAGAACACGGAAACAAGAGCATAAAAGGATAGCGTTTGCTTTTGTTGTTGTTATTATTGTTATAGCGCCAGTATTTGGACCAAAGTGCCTAACATTTACTAATACACTGGGTACCTATACCTCCCACCAACATAGGTATCGTGTAACATTGTCTACAATGCTTAGGCAAATAGGAAGAGTTCACCTAGTGTCGCTTCTGCTGAATCCAAATCTTGGTTCTAAGTGTCCTACTTCTTAGTATTCATGATGTTTGTAGCTATTCATTCAGGTTTCTGCTTAGTTTTGTTCACATGCTGATATTATTAGGAGCAACTGGATGGTGCTGGTATTGAACTCCCTAGTCTCTATAAGTGGATAGAGAGTCAGGCTCCTAATGGTTGCTGCACTGAAGCATGGAAAAACAGGACTCAGTGGGTTGGTTCTGAATTGACAAATGACATCACTGGAGCAATTGCTGATGCTGAGAAGTATCTTCAGATCCACAGGCCTGTAAGAAGGCAAGTGGCTCCACCTATCTTAGTATAGTTACTAACTCAATGGCAAACAAGTTGTGTGTTCTGACTTTGGCCAGTCTTTTTTGGGCAGGCGACATGGAAAAGTTTTGGAGGAGGGTGCCAGTGGTTTCTTGGCAAAAAAACTTGCTGGAAATGATGGCAGTGAGGCTCAGGGAGGGAGCAATGATGTAGATTGGGGCTCTTTCAGCAAATTATGTTCTGATAACTCGTCATCATCCATGGGTACCATTTCATTTGGCAGCAAAGATTGGGCCTCTGTTTACCTCGCTAGTACCCCACAACAAGCTGCTGAACTGGGACTAAAATTTCTTGGAGCGGACGAGGTGAATCAATTTGATTTGATTTTGTTATGATTTGTTGAGGCACGTTCTTCTTGCACGTTTTCACATTTTAATACATGAATAACATTCTTTTATTTAATTTTCCTTGCATGGTTCAATTGCAAGCTTTATATCTTACTGAAGTTGCGTTTGTAACTTGACCTTTAATCTTCCTTACCCTCTCCTGGTCATTCTTTATTTTAATACTGCTCTAGCTCATTGGAGTTGCCTCTGAAACGCGACTTTCGTTCTTCCTTACCCTCTTCTACCCAATAGCTTACAAACTATTACAGACGGTGGCCTTTCCACTTAACACCACATGGCCGAAGGAATGTTGACCACAATTCCCAGTGCCAATGAGCAATGTAAGAAAATGTTGGTCTACTGAGCATAGAGGTCTTTGAGTGAGGATCTATAAATAGATCGGAATCATTGATGGTGTGCAGCCAAAAGAAGCGACAATGGAAGGAAAATAAATGTGTATTGCTGAATAGTTGTGGGCAGTTAGTTTGTGAAATGCAAAATGCTACAAAATCATTGGTTTAGGAAATTTGACCAGGATTTCCCATCTGGAGTTGTAAACAAGCTGAACCGAGTCAGAAAAAAAGAAATGCCAAGAAAATTTAGCTGGCCGAGCTTGAGTGAGCCAAGTATTTAAGGCTTGAGCTTGACATGTGCTATATTTGAACATCTCATGTTTAGGATTCAAAAATATAACACCATCAGTGTAACCAACCAAGGTCCAACATGGCTGGACAATGATCTTTCCCTCGATTGGTGGTCGCCAATAACTGGAACCTCTCCGGTGAGTAAAGAGGTCAACCAAAGATGGGTGAAAGTTTTTGGAATTCCATTGCATGGCTGGACAATGAGCTCCTTTCAATACATCGAAGATCTATGTGGTGGGTTTGTTGGCATAGATCTGTGTAAAAAGTGGAGCTTTGGACCCCCCAAGAGAAGCAGACCCGGTACTTGGCGATTTGAGATATAAAATCTCAATATTGGAGGATCAGGTAGCCAAGCTAATCACCTTTGTCGGCGACGTCGCTACTGTCAAGGGAAGAAAGGAGAAAGTTGCAGGCATGGCTTCCTCGAGTCAAGCGAAGGAGTCTATGTATTATCCAACGGTCCAAGTCAAAGAACCCATGGGTCGTAATAACTTTAATTCAAATTTGATTAAAGTAGCCCCTAAAAAAGTGGTTCTGCCACATCATCAGAAGCCTAACCCTAACCATACCAGAAGACAAGGCAAAGAGGCTGCTAATAATTTGGGCCTTAAATTAGACCGTTCGTATTATTCTAAGGGGCCGATATCTTAATCTTCTGTGGGGCTGAGAAATTGCAGCTGCAGTATCTTAACCTTAAATTGCTATTATTTGAAGCCATCTCAGGGTTACACATTAACATGTTGAAAAGTGTGTTCTTTCCGGTGAATGTTGTGCCCAACTTGGATAAACTGGCTGTCATAATGGGTTGTGGCATAAGCTCCTTTCCAACAACTTATCTAGTCCTTCCTTTGAGTGCCAAATACAAATCAACAGTGGAATGGAGTAATTGAGAAAGTGGAAAAAAGACTGGCTACATGGAAAATGCAATACCTCTCCATGGGTGGAAGGCTAACTCTAATCAATAGTGTCTTAGACAGCAGTCCAACTTACATTATGTCCCTCTTCCCTATGCCTAGTAAGGTTCAGAAGCATCGGGACAAAGTAAGAAGATCTTTCCTTTGGGAAGGCAACAGTGATGCTCACAAATTTCATCTAGTGAAGTGGTCTAAGCTCTAAGGTAATACAACCAAAGAAGCAAGAGGGTCTGGGAATCAGAGATTTGACCAAGCACAACAATAGCTTATTAATGAAGTGGTGGTGGAGATATGGACAAGAAACTACAAGCTTATGGAAGGAGGTAGTGAATGCCGAAGTATGGGAAGCAAGACCTCTAGAGAACCAAGCAAAACAGAGCTGCACATGGAGTTGGTCCTTGGAAGCACATAAACAAACTGAAGGATGGCTTCTTTCATGATGTCTCCTTCAAAGTTGGGAATGGGAACTTTGTTAGTTTTTGGAAGGACAAATGGCTTAACAATCATATCCTGAAAGACACTCATCCCATCATCTATCAGATAGTAGTTGATCCTAACTCCACAATAGCACGAAATAGGACAGGGAACACATGGGATATTCACTTAAGGAGAAACTTGCAAGACTGCGAACTAGGAGAACTCTTTGATCTTTACAGAATTCTGGAAAGCACCACAATGAACCCACAAGTCACTGACAAACTAAGATGTGGCAGCTCTAGTAAAGGGTCATACTCGGTCAAGGAGGGGTACATCAATTTGTGTGCGCAAAATGGAATGATTGAGCATTGGCCATGGAAGCTGATTTGGAAGACTAAGATCCCCACAAAAGTCATGTGCTTCTCTTGGACAGCCCTCAGAGAAGCAATTTTGACACAAGACAACTAGTGCAGAAGGAACTTTCACCTAGTAAACAGATGCTATATGTGTCAACAACGATCAGAATCGGTCAACCACTTGTTTTTCCATTGTTCAGTGGTTGCTGATCTGTGGCGCATGTTCTTATCAGTTTTGGGCATTAGTTGGGTAACTCCTCAGACTATAAAGGAAGCAGTGGAAAATTGGAGCCTCTGGAAAGTTGATAGTACCATCAAGAAGATCTGGCAGATGATTCTAGCATGCATTTTCTGGTGTATTTGGACAGAAAGGAACCGCAGATGTTTTGATGGCATTTCAACTCCTAGCTGTTCACTATCCAAGTGGTTGATGAATCTTTTCAGTTGGAGTAATTAGCCCCTGTAAATGATGCAATTTCCGTTATAGATTTCATTAGTTCTCTTACTTTACTTTAAAAATCAAGTTGTTTGATCTTTGGATTTTAGCTCCATGCTTCAATTGTTGTTTTTGTACTCAGGAGCTAGTCCAAACTTTTTTGTAATTTCTGCATCTTCTTGATGCCATCAATATAACACCTTACTTCATAAAAAAAAACCAACCAAGGTCCAACAATTTTTTTAATCAACCATAGTAGAACAAAGACCAAAACTAATTATCCTCTTGTCAGCTACTCTTAATAAGAATAAAAATCTTAGAATGTATGGCTACACTTCTTTAATTCAAAGGAGCTACCTTCTTAGAGGTTTTGAATATAGGTGGAGAGGAAAGCGAGATGCTGGGAGGGTCTTTGCATCATCAAAGGGGGCATTTAGTGAGGAGAGGCATGAGAAGGTAGCTCATGGTGTCGTCGTGTCGTGTAAAGAGAGGAGCAAATGATGGTGTACTGATAAAAACATGTTAGGTGATTTCTTTCTTTCTGCCTAATCCTAGGAGTCCACCCTTATTTAAAAAGAGGTGAAGTGAAGCAATGAATGAGACTAGGAGTCGAGAAGTTGAGTAGAAACAAGGTCGCTATTATTGTAAGAGGTGCAAGATTTTTAAGATGAAAGAGATGATGCCTACAGTTAACATCATGTTGGGTGTACTATATCTAATCAAGTACTTTTTGTTTTTCTATTTATGGAAATTCTTTTATTTTTATGTATTGAGATAGTGATTGGAGAGTGGTTGATTGTGTTATAGAAGAAATATTGTAATTGAACAAATATTGAAGCTCAAATAGGCCTATAGCCTTTCAACTTCAAGCTGCGTATTTTGAGGTTCGAGATCGGTTGTATCCATGCTCTAGCAGCTCGAGCTTGAAATGGTTCAATGCAAGCTTGGCAATCATTCAATCTGACTTGGCAATTCACACCCCTAAGAACAATTTCCTTCAAGGGCTGGTGGATAGTTTGTTAATATGGAAGTGATTAATAACATGATATGTAAAAGAAAGAACAACAAAGGAAGGCAAAAGCAAGAAAACAACTAAAAAAAGAAGCACGGGTGTGGAAAAAACGTTTTTGATTGATATCTTCCATACTTAATCTCAATGTTCTGCCATATGCTTCATTTCCGTACTGAACCTCCACAACCATTTACAAAGAAAACTTTTATTGTGTAGTTTAAGCCTTTAAGGTTCTTCACCCTTAACCCACCTACCTCTTTACTACTGCACACTGTACTTCACTTCACTAAAATGACTCTTTTTTGCTGAATAGCCGTCCCATAAAATTCCCTTCTGATTTTGTCAATTTGCTTCGCCACTTCTGCTGGAATGGGCAATAAAGACAGCAGATAAGCGGAGATACCATCTATCACACTATTGTTCAAAGTCACCTCCTACCAAGAGACAAGTATTGTTGCTTCCAGGGGGCTAGCTTCGTCTCACACTTCTCAATAACTCCTTGCCATACACTTCTGTGATTGTCTTGCACGCAATGGTAGCCCTAGATAGGTGGTAGGGAACTTCTCAATTGTTACCTCTGCCAAAACTCCAATGTGAATTTCAGCATTAATAGAGAAGATGAAACTTTTGGACAGATTTACTTTCAGGCCAGTACCAACTCTCAAATTTAGTATTTGCTCCGTGTGTGCTTCACATAACAACATGGTGTCATCGACATGCAATAATTGAGGTATTTCCACCTATCTTCCATCTGAACCTTCAATAGTAAAACCTTTAATCCATCCCTTTTCAGTAGCATTCTTCAACAGTGTCCAAAATTTCCATCACAATAAAGAGAAAGAGTATCACCTTGCCTTGATCCCCTTTGTGACTTGAAATATCCTTCTGGACTTCCATTAACCAAGATTGAAAATCTTGTTCTAGAGATGCGCATTTTAATCCATTGAGTCCACTTACCACCAAATTCATCCACTTTAGAATCTTCAAGAGACAAGACCTACTCAAGTGATCATAAGCTTTGATCAACGCATTCATTGGCCAATAGGCATCCACTTTCTGTCTTCCTTTCAGGGAAGCGTTTTGGCTTCCGGACACGAGCTTATTCATTACCTTCTTCAGCCTTTCGGTGAGACCCTTTGCAATGATCATATATACACTTCTAAGCAAGCTTATAGGCCTGAAATCTTTAGGGGTTGTTTGGTAGCCGGTTAGAGAGGAGTTTTCCATGTATTAAAACTAGGATAACTTTATACATTGTTTGGTTAAAAGAAGGGGAAAAAATAATCTCCACATAGAAGCTAGCATAAATTATACAATGTTTGGTTGTTATTTTCTCTTTTCCACATAAAATGTAGCATTGCTAATATAATGTTTGGTTCATGTTTTTCTTTTTCGCATAACTAATACATGTATAAGTTATGAGAGAATCTATGTATTATTTATGCAGGGTAGAAGGTGGAATAACTTTTACATGTATTAGTAATACTTGTATTAAAAGACAAAATGACAAGAATACCCTTTATTCAAACTTGTATTTTTTTGCTTAAAAATATATATTTAAACTATACTAACAATTTTAATAAAATAAAGTAAGCTAATAATAAATAACGCTCACATTACATTTATTTTACTAATCCTCATATAACTACCGCATAACTAATCCATGCATAACTAATCCCAACATAACTCAACCTTGCATAACTTATCCGTGCATAACTAATACATGCATAACTAATCCCTGCATAATTAATACACGTATAACTAATACCTTCATAACTCTAACCGGCAACCAAACGACCCCTTAATGTTTATAGCATCTATCTTTTTAGGAATAAGAGCTATAAACGTGGCATTTAAGCTTCTTTTGAAGTTACCTTTTCGGTGGAACACGTCAAAATTCTTCATTATATTTTCCTTTAGTATGTGCCAACATCTTTTGGAAAAAGTCATTGAATCCATCTGGGCCTGGTGCCTTTTTGCAATCCACCATTTTCAACACATCTACCACTTCTTCCGGAAAGGCCTCTGGAGTCACATTTTTTCTTCATAAGATACAACATGCAGCTTGGGATCATACCAGGATGGCCTCCATTTACCTTTTAAGAAAACAAACCTTGGTACAAATCTAGGATGTGTTCTTTAATCACCTTTTTTTCTTCAGAGACACTGCCTTGCACTTCAAGACTGTCAATGCAATTATACCTTTTGCGCATTTGGTAATCTATGGAAAAATCTGCATTTTATCCCTTCTTTAATCCAGAAAAATGTTGATTTTTGCTTCCATGATATCTCCTCAGCTCTAGCAATCTCTTCCAACTCCTTAGTTAATAATGTTCTCCCAGAATTTACAGCAGCAACACCAGCAACAACACCATCTTCTGGTTCCTGCATCTGTTCCCTTTCTTCTAAATCCTTCAAAATCTGATTCTTTCTAACTTCCGATCAATGTTTCAAAAGCCGATGCATTTTATCTATCGCAGAGCGAGGCAAAAACCCCGAGGTTATTTGCATTAAAATTGTAGAAAATTGTAAAAGTACTAATAATATATATATTTGTATAAACATGCTAACATGTGGATAAACATTATAATTTTTTTCTACTTGGAAAAGTGAAAGGGGTAAAGATGTTTCACACCTATAACGTGACTATGATCTGAACGTACTTAGAGTTGTAAAAATGGTACTCTAATTCCTAATAGGTCAGAAAATTTAAAATAAAAATAATATAAAGTTATTGTTGGAAAACCTAAATCTAGAAACAAATAACGAATACTCATTATAATACAAACAGAACATTTTCAGGAATAGATTTTCCAAAACAATATCTAAACTAGAGTGATACCAAAAGTAATTCTAAAATCAAAAACTAACTTTGAAAAGAATAAACTAAAGAGAGCCAAAAAAAATAAAAAGAAACTTGAGGAAAATGAGGTATAAATAAGGATGCTGCAAGCATGGAAGCAGATCAAGCGTGTGAGGACAAATCTCTTGCTTTTTAGTTTGTGCTTTGAAGACAAAGGGCCGAAGAGTATTTGTTACTCAGTAAACGACAAAGAGAAATGATTTTGAAATTAGGGTAAGCAATTAGAAAAAGCCTTTTTCTGAGATGGGAATTAGAAAAAGCCTTTGCCTATTGAGTTAGCTTTGAGTTTAAGTATTAATAAAAGGAATTATTAAGCAATTGTGGCTCTATTCTGAATAAATTCTCTGGGGTGTAACCCCAATGAATGCTCAGAAAGTTAGGACTTATGCCTAAGAAAATGCCCAGAAGGCTGGGACTTGCGCCCCCACAAGACTTGCGCCCCATGTGTATGCCGCATTGCGTTTTTAGTGCGCCTCGCCTCAGGACTCGCACATATAATGCCTTTTAAAACACTACATCCAATCTCCCGTAGACTTCTAGATTCCATTCCTCAAATCTGCAACATTTTCTATTTTCTTGCTAAAATCAGATCTTGCCTGCATTGAATATCGTAAGACTTCCACCAACTCCACTGATTCCCAAGAATTTCATGCTCTAGCCACATGTTCTCAAAAGCATACACTTCCCCTAGAAAGATATTGTTGTTTTCTTTTAATATATTTTTACTGAATTGGGGAGTCCTAGAAAGATATTATTGTGCAAAAAAGAGTAATAGATTGTAAAAACGATTAAAATAAGAGTATAAAAGAATAATGAAAGATCATTGATAACGAAGCAAATGATATCAATTTAATCTTGCAATTTTATAAAATTTGTATTATTTATTTGATGTCTATCGGAAACAGCTCTCTACCTCACACAAGGTAGGGTTAAGTTTTGCTTACACGCCACCCTCCTAGACCCCACTTGTGAGACCACACTGGGTATGTTGTTATATTATTTTTTCTTTGATCTATTTATTTTGGGATAGCGTTGATGCTACTTTGCTTTTGCTTTTCATAATTGTCAAGTGGGAAGTTTATGAAATTAGTTCCTGATTTATACCAGCTTCACGACAAGTATATCTGTAAACTTACATGGTATTCGAAATGCCAGAAAACTTTTGCCGCATAATCACAGTTTTGAGTTTTATATCATTTTGTTTACTTCAGAGGGTCTTTGTTTAATTCACCTGGCCCACTAATTAAAATGTGCTTTGGTCTTACATGTGATTCAATCTCAGGTTGAGGAGATTGATGATATTGAAGACAGTTCTGTTGATCCATTTGTTGCAGATGCCATTGCAAATGAAAGAGAGCTAAATCTTTCTGAAGAGCAAAAGAGGAAGTATAAGAAGGTCTGTGAATGGTATATTCTAGTTCTTTTCTTTGACATTAATACTTCATTTCTTGAAGACATGGAGCCGGATGAAGTGTTCATTGCACCTTTTCCCCCCTTCCTTTTCACCACACTATTTCTTTTTCTTTTAAGCACCCTTTAAATGACCATTTGTTTCTTCGAATTCTCTGCTGATGAGAGGTAACTTCTGGTGTTATCACTGGGTTGTCGATTCAACTTATGACAATTTTTTTACTTCTCTCTCTTCCAGGTTAAAGAGGAAGATGATCTAAAAATTGATCTGAAGCTTCGGAGACGTTTAAAACAAAGAAGACACAGGAACATGCAGAAATTGGTAATTAGCATGCTTTGAGCTCTCTTTTTAGTATCTAATAAGTTTCTTAAAGTGTTATTAGGAAAAGATTTCTGAAAGTGTATCATCCGCGAAGGACTTGAGCCATTTCACTTCAGGGTGAACTGTTATGAGCTAACAATATGACCCTCTGAAAATTCACTACTGCCACGGAGGATATCAGATAGACTTTATGTCATGACCCCAACCGGCGCTAAGTCAAGCATGGCTCACCTAGCCACCTGCCCATTTTCGGGACAAAACTCTGAAAGTCTCCTCTGTGCTTGGAGCATTCCGATAATTATGTTATCAGCCAATCACAACAACACAAATAATATGCACCAATATCACTAGCTACAAGCCACAAAGGTACTAACAACTAATTTTCAATAATCAACTAACACAAGACTCACAAAATCAATTCTATAATCTCCAAGACTGATTAGTGGAGCATAACTCTAGAGTCTAACAAAATAATAGAAGATACTGCCCACACGTAACAAGTTAGGCTTACTTTGATCAACTATCTACTAGCTGTCACGCGGTTGGAGTAGTATTAACCATGTCAACTAGTGAATAAAGATGATGAGAAGAGGAGGTTAGTCACACTGACAAGTGAGTGGATAACTCAACTATAACCGTTTTATCATGGATAAGTTTATACATACATATATGATATGAAAACATTGTTCAATTCGTATCAAAGTAACATGGGGGTACAAGTCAACATCACATAATAATTGAGCAACAAAAGTAATACTTTGCAGTTTAATTTAAATAGTTTTACATCTCAAGCTACAGAGGAGTTTCTAAAGCTAGAATAGATATCAAACCGTCATTATGGTTGTCAGCATAGCCGTCGAGCGAAGCCTATCACACTTGTTGCTAGTTCTTTTCTTCCTAATAGCGATGGCGCAACATTATATCATTACTGTACAAGGTGCACCAGGCTAACGAATCTCGTTGCTACAAGCGCGCTGCATCCGCATCTTCCCCGACTCATCTATACATATGTAGCACGAACTTACATTTATGATCCTCTTCCTCAAATTCTCGGCTGTCAGTATTGCTTCTCTTGCTTCCAACCACACAAAGAAGCACACTGTCGTTAGCTAACGATATTCTGACAATGTTGCTATCCATCATAAGTATCTCAATATACATACATGATACAGACATAAACATGTATACGTGCATTCTTTAAAGATCACTTGGCCATAGCATAATAACATAGAATAGCCAAAGATTATATCTCATGTGAATATTTGACACTTTATACATCATAATGGAACTCATACTATCAAAATATTTTCTTTCTCAGCATATCATTAATATTACTGCTTATCCCAATTCAATTAATCACTTTAAAGGGGAAAACAATTTTCGAAGCATATTATAGTTGAAAAACACAAGCTAAGAAAGAGCCACCTCTCACATTACTAGCTTCCTTTGTCGTGAACGTGGTGCTAGTAGGCTAACCGTTTGCTTGTTCATCAATTAATAATCATTTAATATGAACGTAAGTGTTATTTATTTGAAAAATATCACAACTATCTACTTTGGACAAGCTAGTCAAATTCCCAATTGTTTCACAGTATATTCCATTAGGGCGAACTACCCATGGTTATTCCAATTCCGACATTAATCCACAGTTTTCTATTCTTGCGTATCCTTACCTCATTCAAATGTGAAATATTTCCTTGAATTCTCCCGATTTCATCTATCTGAAATTGTGAAATATTCAATTTTAACTCGTGATAGTCGATCATATCCATAATCTACTTTTACACATATTAATTAAATAATGAAACCTCCAGCTTTAGTATTAAAATTTACCTCTTGATGCCAAGAACCCGAAGAACCTTGTTATTGAGAATTTGTCTTCTTCCTGAAGGTTGAAACTTTGAAGAAGGTAGGATTTCTGATAGTGGAATCCCCTTTCCAAATCCTAAAGTTTCTTTTTGTCAATGTGATGGTTGGAAATTTGCAATTCTGAAAGGCATGCATTGGACTAACTCTTAGCATTTCTCTCCTTTTTTGATTATCGAGAAATTTACGAGATCCACTGTGTTGGAATTCGGTGGATGGTGGGTCAGTCGTTCTACCCTTCTCCACTTACATACTAAGGTTTTGTCTGTGACAAGATTCAAACCCGTGACGTGGGCGTAACCCACTCATCACAAGTTGCGCTCTTACCCTAGACGAATGCTTTGCGGCTAGTGTTTTCTCTCTTCTTATCTTCTAAAATTAAGATTGAGGAATGAGAAAATAAGAGTTCTAGAGTAGCTAGCATTATGCGACCTTCGTAATTGGTCAAAGGAAAAAGATTGAAAGTTAACCTGAACTTTGTGTTACTCATTTGAGTTTGTATATGAAATGTGTACCTAAGTGGGTGTGCTATCCAAATATATTTGACTATGGTACTATAAAACTATTGAGGTCCTCTTCCTGTTAAAGGGAAAAAAACTTGTGAGGTCCTCTCCTTCGCTCTTCCTTGAGGCAGTGATGCTGGTGAAGGTACCGAACTACTATGCAAAATCTTCTTTCAAATTGTAACAATAGTTGATTACATAAGATTAGCTATTTAATATTCTTTGATCCCTTCATAGTTTTGTGCTTTTCCTCTTTTAAATTCTTCTTTATGTTGTACACTTGTGTCCAACCAGGAGGAGATACAGGAAGATACAACAGATGACATGAGCGGTTCCTTGTCTCAAGATGTTGACTTTCACACAAATAGGTATTCCACTATTGATGATGGGGATGCGCCATCATCAAAATGCCTACCTGAAATTGATTCTGAGGCCAAAGGGTTGAAACGTTTACATAACTCTGAGGAAATGGAGGCTCAAAGTAAAAAGCCTCGGATCATTACGTTAGATAGTGATGAGGAGGATCTTCCTGGGGAAAAGTTATCTCCTACATGCAGTTTGAGTGAGACAGGAGATCAGTCCAATCCACAAAGGAATGGAGATGATGTGCTTCCCGTTAGTTCTCTTCCGGCATTTAATGAGAAGCAAAATTTTCGCTGCACGGCTTGTGATAAAGTGGCTGTTGAACTACGTGCACATCCTCTTTTGAAAGTTATAGTTTGCCTGGACTGCAAAAACTCAATGAAAGCAAAGATGCAGGTAAAATACAACCATCCCTGCTAAATTATTGAAGGTAGTTTCAAATTTATCCAATTTATGTGTTAATAGCATCTTGAAACAATTAGGTGCATTTCTATATACATGTGTTATGAGATTGCTGTGGTGCTGGCTATATGTAATCATGGCTAGGCACGCCTTTACCTGTTAATTTTAACTAATGGTCAATGACTTCAAATTCAGACAAATAACAAGATGTAATTGGTAGAGTATATACCTTCTTCTACGTGTAATTAATTATTTTACTACTTATATTTCTTGTATTTGTAGTTCTCTCTCTTATCTGTAGTTATCCTTTTTCCTTATAGCTGTAGTTATTTTATTCACTTTGTATCCTATTTATACTTCACCTGTACATCAATGAGAAGATATCAGTTAATGGTTAAATTCTCTTTATCAGTCTTGTTATTTTACAGTATTGATTCACGGTTCTCTCTCTCTCTCTCTCTCTCTCTCTCTCTCTCTCTATGTCTTGTTTACAGGATGTTGATTGCTCAGAATGCTACTGCAGATGGTGTGGGCGTTGCAGTGATCTCTTAAGTTGTAAATCGTGCAAACGGTTATTTTGTAGTGTGTGTATAAGGAGGAACCTTGGTGAAGAAACTTTATTGGGAATAAAAACATCTGGTTGGCAATGCTGCTGTTGCTCCCCAAGTATCCTGCATCCATTGATTTCAGAGTTGGAGAAGATCATGGAATCTCAGGGATTAGTAGATTCTAGCACAGACACAGATTCAGATAATTCAGATGCTTCAGATGCTGATGTCAATGGGCATAGAAGGTACACCATATACATGACAATCATGTAAACTGTGTATCCTACATCCATTAAGTTGCATATCTTTAGTACTCGATCCCAATTTATCCATATGGCATGATCATGGCAATAACTCAATTAAACTCGTGCAAGATTTGTGCATGGGCGTGCTACTCTTTAGTTTCATCAACTCTAACATGTAGCATATTGATATTACAAAAGAAGTTCTCTACTCTCTAGATCATAGATTCTTTTGAGCAGTTCCACAGCAGTCTTGGAAAATGCCCTGTCTCTTGCTAAGCGAAAAGTGACATGGGAACTGCGACAAGGGGAGTAATAATGCTTGATCTTTCCTCTTCTCCTTCTCTATTTTTTTCCCTGGGCAGGTGATGATGCCAATGAGAAAGTTGTTTCTGAAGCATTTTGTAGCAGTGTTAGTTTGTATTGTTAAAGAATGGGATTTCTGCCTCATGCATGGAGGTCTAAATACATTGCATCCAAATGGACTTAAAAGTTTTATATTTGTGTCTATGCTCTGTAATGTTTGATTAGCCTCCTTATTTTCTAGCACTTTACCGTTTTCACCTCTGTATTACAATATATACCGAGAATAATGGAAGGACTATGTTTTCTTGCACCAGCACGAAGAGAAGACCAAAAAAGAAAATTAGAAGAATCCTTGATGATACTGAGTTAGGGGAGGAGACAAAAAGGAAAATTGCAATAGAAAAGGTAAAAGTCCAAGCGATGTGTTCTGTCACTGCTTCCTTCTCAAGGCATCTATTAAAACACACATATTTTCAGGAACGCCAAGAACGCCTCAAATCTCTGGGGGCAAAATATTCGAGTGAGACTATGTTCATGAATTCTGGGGCTTGTTGCAAAACCTCGTATGAAAGTGGTAGCTTAGAAATGCTCGGTGATGTTGAAACTGGTTACATAGTTAATGTGGTGAGGGAGGACGGGGAAGAGGCGGTGAGGATTCCACCCAGCATCTCAGCAAAACTGAAAGCCCACCAGGTCACCTTCTATGCAGTTGTTCGTCTTGTGTGTGTTAAATTCTTGCTCTCTGAAGTAGTGTACACATTTCGCATTGTGACAAATATGATATCTGAATTCTTCTGAATCCTGTGAGTAGTACTTTGATGTGTTGCACAAATGAGAAAGTTGACTTTCTTTTTCCCTTTCTCCTTCATCAATAAGATCTGCTCTCTCATATCTACTTTTTCTCATATCCTTACATATAGAAGATAGCTTCTCACTTTTGGCATCGTACCTCGCTTATACATCTATAGATCATGTGGCCTGCCAACATGTCACCCTAAGGGCTCTTAGGTATTCCGGCATTTCTTAAGGTCGTCTTCCTCTTTTCTGACTCTAGGTCCTGAAAAGAATATGCTTTTTAAGACATGCACTCAAGGAACAAGTGTTGTTTGTTTTGTTTTCTTAAACTGAGTTAACTGGATTGCTTTGTTATTTTATTGAACAAACTTCTGTTTTGCATAACCTTCAGTTTATAATTTCTGACCTGCACTGTCAACCTCTAGTTCCTTTGTCTTCACTGACAAACCCACAACAATCACTTTGAAGCCGTAATTTATACATTCTTTAGTTTTACTTGTCGACAAATTCATACAAAATCCCCCTCCCTGCTAGTGCCAAATCCCTGGCCACCCCTATGTTGTATGAACTCTTCATTTGTCTTAAAGTACCCGTGCTGAGCAAGCCTGTAATGCATACGGTGCAGATCTTTTCAAAATATACTAACAAACATGTTTAAAATTCACAATACGTACTGTGTGCCCTTTTTTCTTTTCTTTTAACCGTACAGGGTACTTGCTTACACATAGCTGCATGTAGACCTGTGCCAAAGTTCATATAA